GTGTGTGTGTGTGTGTGTGTGTGTGTGTGTGTGTGTGTGTGTGTGTGCTGTCAGGTTTCTCTCACTTTGTCAGCTTGGCTGCTTTGTCTTTAACTACTCTCGCCGCATTGATTTTGAATAGGTTCGGTTTTGCATTTATTTCAATACAGTGGGGCTGCATCTTGACGGGGAGGACGAGACAGGTCGAAAGAAAGAGCTGTGCAGCTGCATTTGCAAAAGGTTACAATCTTCTAATTTAGTGACCAGTTTTCAGCGGAGCCTGTATATAATTACAAGCTTGCAGTTCAGAGAAAAACTAGCACAGGAATAGTTTAATTAAGAAGAGGAAGGTTGTACATTTCAACATTCTCTCACATACACTTTTACACACGTACAATGCTGAGAGTTGCAGCTGTTGGACCTCCAGCTTTTCCCAGGCAGCAGTAACTGGCACCTCACAAACATCAGGTATTATGTCCATTCCGATTATGGGATAGAGAGATACATGCTGTTTGAAGCTGACAGCACATCTGCCTCCTCACTGGAGACTGATTCTGGCACCTCAGACAAGCATCTTACGAGGAATGGATTGGGGGAGCTGCCTTAGCATATTTAACCCTCCAGTTCTCCCTCTCCCTTCTTCTCTGTAATGTTTCTCTCTTAATGTGGTTCCAGGATCATATGTAAACCTTTTCATCTTTCTACTGTTGTAGAGAATTATTCCTTTAAATCTCTTTATTATTTTGATTTTGGTCATCTGATTATTTATTTTTTTTTTTTAATGCAGATTTAATCATTTTAGAAACAAATGATTTGTGAAGATTGTTGACAGTTACTGGGAGTGGGCAGCCATTTTCCACTAATACTATAACTCTCTCTCTCTCTCTCACACTTCTTTTAAAATGGCACACTTGAAGCTGTGAGTACTCTGGGAGCATAGGCAGTAACAACACGGCTTGTCATGTCCACTGGCCGTTTCCTTGCATCACGCTGTGAGGACTTCCACAGCCGATGCCAAGTTGACTCCAGCCAACCTTGGCTTGGCAAGGCTGATGCAGCTGGCATTTCTCTCCACTATCTCTTACTTGTGAATCCATAGTATGTGTGGCGTATTGGAAGAAAAGAACAAATCAATGTCAGGCACAGATCTGTGGTCACTATACAGCAGCAAAATAGACAATGAAATACTCTACACGGAAGCTGGTTGCTGCTCTGGCTTTTATACACTGAAATGTTTGCACATATGCAGTAAATTCATCGTATTAATACATTGTGAGCATTCAGCATATGTTGTGAAGGAAGCACCAAAGTGAGTCGTTAACAGAGCAATCAGAGAGGCCTATTTCCCATATGCATATTAGGCATATTTGTGAAGAGACAAAAATGTCTGTATTTGCATTGGGAAGTAACGGATCTCATTTATATGATTAATAAGTATCATCTTCGCTGAGGATTTTTTCTTTGTATGATTTAAAAATTTTGCTTGTGTACAGTTTTTAAACGAAGCGGAAACATTTCTGTGGCTCATCTCTGCTCTCTACCCTTGCTGAGCTGTAGTGTTCAATAGCTTCATTAGGCAGCGCAGTGAAGAGGACTATATGTCATTGTCAAGATATGGATGTTTGTCACTTTATTATTGCAAAATTGTGTCCTCTGCTGGGAAAATTGACAAAAATCTCTTTAGGATTATTGCAGATACCTTCATATAGTAAGGGTGGTAGATGCATACTTGGTGTTATTCTAATGTATCAAAAATTTGTGTACAAACGATATCTAATTCACTTTCCGCTCTTTTTGTGTTTTCTAGCTTATGGATCTGAGGACGAGTTTAAAGGGGATAAGATCGATGAAGAGGAACATCTGCAAGATGACGGCCTTTCCCTGGATGGCCAAGAAGATGCAGACTATCTTTTCAATGATGACGAGGATGCAGGTGATCGTTATAGCTGCCAAAACTCTCCACTCAGCAATGGCACTAACCCAGACGCTGGGTATGCCTCTCCACTCAGCACCACCAGTGATCATCTGGTGGACCTTAAGACCACGCCCTCCCTCATTGATCAGGACAAGGTAGAGGAGAAGCAAGCGGAGAGCACAGAGCCCATCAATGGCGTCTTGCTAAAGGACAGTCTGGCCAAAATGAAAACTGTCTATGCAAACCTGATCTCGGATGCCTCCTGGTCCAGCATTGCTATGGACATGCTAAAAAGTAAACAAGGGAACGATTACGCAGCCAGCAATGACAATGGAAGCAATCACAAAGGGAGTAATGGCTTCCTGAACAGTCACAGCCCAGGCAACATCCGTCTGAAGAGCAGATGTAGCACTAGCAATGCCTCAGCCACCACTAATATTACCATCGGCAGTACCAACACCAGAGCAGTGTCGAGCAACAGTGGCGCCGGTGTAAACTCTGGAGGATTAGCTTATGACTGGCACCAGGCAGCGTTGGCCAAAACCCTACAGCATACCCCCTACCAACTGCTTCCTGAGCCAAGCCTTTTCAGTACCGTGCAGCTTTACAGGCAAAACAATAAGCTCTATGGCCCTGTGTTTACGGGTGCCAGCAAGTTCAGGTGCAAGGACTGTAGTGGTGCCTATGACACGTTGGTTGGCCTGACGGTGCACATGAACGAGACGGGCCACTACCGTGACGACAATAAGGATACCGAGGATGATCGCAGCAGGAGGTGGTCCAAGCCACGGAAGCGTTCTCTGCTGGAGATGGAAGGCAAAGAAGATGCCCAAAAAGTTCTTAAATGCATGTACTGTGGCCATTCTTTCGAATCCTTGCAAGACCTCAGTGTTCATATGATCAAAACAAAACACTATCAGAAAGTGCCTCTAAAAGAACCAATGCCAGCTCTCACCTCAAAGCTGGTACCCCCAACCAAAAAAAGAGCATTTCAAGACTTGATGTCCCCGAGCTCGCCGGAGTCTTTCTCGTCTGGCATACACTTGGGAGAGTCTCACAAAGACCAAAAAGTGGCCAATCCTTATGTCACTCCAAACAATCGATACGGTTACCAAAACGGTGCCAGTTATACTTGGCAGTTTGAGGCACGCAAGGCTCAAATTCTCAAATGCATGGAATGTGGTAGTTCACATGACACCTTGCAGCAACTAACAGCCCATATGATGGTTACTGGGCACTTTCTCAAAGTAACCAATTCAGCCTCTAAAAAGGGTAAGCAGTTAGTTTTTGATCCTATCATTGAGGAGAAATTTCAGTCAATTCCTCTGCCACCGACTACAACACGACTCCCAGCACCCAATGGGAAGTCGCAGCCAGACTCCCCATTGCAGCCCACTAGCCTTGAGGAGAAAAACGAAGAAATGAAAGATGAAGAGGCAGAGGAGGAGAAAATGGAAGGGATGGAACCAGAGAAGAAAATAAAAGAGGAGAAAGAAGATCCTCCTGAAAAAGCTGACAAACCTAGAAAGGCCAGATCTTACCAATATCTGAGAGAAGAAGACTTGGAAGAGACACCTAAAGGTGGCTTGGACATCCTGAAGTCTTTAGAGAATACAGTTTCAAGTGCAATCAGCAAGGCCCAAACAGGCTCACCAACCTGGGGTGGATACCCCAGCATTCATGCCGCCTATCAACTCCATGGATCCTTGAAGTCCACCTTTCCGTCATGTGCACAGGTTCTACCTTTATTCAGCAGCAAGAGTTTGAAGGTACTGTCCTCTGAATTAAGCAATCTGATCCATTCACCAAATAGCCCCTCTCCACCACCAAGTCACAAGAGCAATGTGTTGGCAATGGAGGAGCTAGTTGAGAAAGTGACAGGGAAAAGTTCAGTAAAAAGTGAAAAAGAGGAAAAACCTGTACAGCGTAAGGGCAGGTCTCTAAAGTCTCCATTGCCAAATCCTAAGGACAAACAGGTTTCACCCATTCCAGAAAACAGCTTACGGGCAGCGAAAAAAACTTTAGTAGAGGACCAGACTGAGTTGAGAGGAAAAGAAGGTGAGCAGACAGCGAGTAAAATAGAGAGACAGATAAAAAGTGAATTTGATTCACCAAAAAAGCCTGTAAGCAATGGCTGCAATAACCTGAGCATCATCACGGATCACTCACCTGAACAACCACTAGTCAACCCTCTCAGTGCTTTGCAGTCTATCATGAACAACCACTTGGGCAAAGCTGCAAAAGTGGCCACTCCGTTCGTAGACCCCTTTGCGATGCTTTATAAGATCAACAGCAGCTCTGCTCAGGTTAAGTCAGCAGAGCCTGTGAGTCAGTACTGCGATGACGACGATGATGATGATCAGCCCATTGACTTGACAAAATCCAAAAACACCAATGGCAGTACACCTACGGGTGCTTCTACACCAAACAACAATGGCAGTGTAAGCAATAGCAAACCAGCTTTCAAAGATTTCTCACAGTCCTCATCTCCGCTCCTTCGGGAGAATGCTTTGATGGATATTTCAGACATGGTAAAAAACCTGACGGGCCGTTTGACACCAAAGTCCACGACCCCTTCTTCCATCTCTGAGAAATCCGACTTCGATGGCTGTACTTTTGAGGACAGTTTGGAGGAGTTGTCTCCCATCCAAAGACGGAAGGGCCGACAGTCAAACTGGAATCCCCAGCACCTCCTGATTCTCCAGGCCCAGTTTGTCTCTAGTCTTAGAGAGACTGCTGACGGAAAGTTGGTGGTCAGTGACTTGGGACCCCAGGAACGTGTCCACATCTGTAAATTCACTGGTCTCTCCATGACTACTATCTCACATTGGCTGGCCAATGTAAAATACCAGTTAAAGCGGACAGGGGGAACAAAGTTCCTTAAAAATATTGAGTCTGGCCAACCTCTGTTTTTGTGCGGTGACTGTGCTTCCCAGTTTAGGACTCCCTCCGCCTACATTCACCATTTGGAGACCCACCTCGGGTTTACCCTGAAGGACCTCTCAAAGCTTTCCATTGATTTAATCGAGCAGCAAGCAGTCAGCAGAATAGAGGACAAGACTTTTAGTACTTCTGGACTTACAGAAGAAGACACTGGCTCAATATATCAGTGCAAACTGTGCAATCGGACATTTGCGAGCAAACATGCAATCAAATTGCACCTTTGCAAAACACATGGGAAGTCGCCTGAGGACCATCTTATCTTTGTGAAAGAGTTGGAAAAGTTTGATAAACAATGAAGAAGCTGATAGCATGACAGATTACTGTTGCACTATAACTCAAAGCTACAATCTGTCATAACAGATGGTGGCCACAACTGTATTGACACATATCGTAATGACAACATGGTTGATACTGTAGTTATTCAGCTATCCATAAATGACAGGAGCTTGCGCTGCAGAGGCTCGAAGCCAAGTTGTAAAAGTAGCATTTTCCGGTGACATAAACGTACCAAATTGGTGCAGCAGCCATGGCACTGATTGTTGCTTTCCTAATGCACTGCATCTAATCTGAGCCTTTGGAAAAAGTCCATCTGTTGATTTAAAACTGGACCACGCTCTTATTTTGATCACTGATTTTGAATTCAAAATGAATATATTTCAACACAACTTACATATTATTTATGAGACACTTTGTGCATGTGTTTGTGTAAAACAGTGAGCATATTATGTCGAATGAAATTTCAACCATGATTACAAAACTGATATCCCTGTTGTTTTTTTCAAATTGCAGGCTTAGCTTTTAAAATGAAGGTAAATGGTTATAAAAGTAACCATGTGAAAGGTGATGTTTTAAAATATTAAGATGATTTCAGCACTTTAAGTGTAAATTGAAGAAATGTGTGGGTAAAAATGACACATCACCTTTTTCATTTTGAATCTCTTGATCAACATTACAATTTGGGGGACGAACTATATTGTTTTGTATTTGTCATTAAATCCCAGAAATTCTTACAAAATATTTAGAATATTGTTTTTTCTAGTAAAATATGATTTCCTGGTTGTTTCAACATGTACAGTATTTGCGTTAGTAGGCTACCAATTTTATTATTGTGAAGCTACAGTTGTAAAATTAATGAAGTTTAAAGTTATTGTATGAATAATCAGCAAGTATGTATACATGTGTCAGCATATCTTGCTCTTTACAGTTCAACATTATTTGTACTGTGTGCATTTTTATAATGTTGTTTTCTAGAAAAATATGGGGGGAAATGTGTAAAACTACAGAATATTGTCGGACCACAATGTCCTTTTTCAGTGAAAAGTAGGTCCTTTGATGAGGTTTACATAAAATTACAGACTTTTAATGGCATCTGCTCTGATGCATGGTCCTGTACATAACATTGAAGAAATAAATTCTCACCCAATGATAGATTGTCAGGTTTTATCATCAACCCGATTATTCAGAATGGCATTCTTTTATCCTCAGTTGTAAAATAAACTCCATGTCATGGATTAAATTGTGGTGTGGATTGAGTGTTTTTGGGAAGAGTGTGAAATCCAGACAGACTGAACCTGAAACACAAAATCAGACTGCTAACTCTTGCCAATATTTTTTTCAATAATGTAATAATGGTGTTTCTCTGCCACATTTATAGATTTGAAGAAAGCCTATGGTAAATGGACTGCATTCATATAGCGTCTTTTTCTGCCTTATCAAGAAAGCGCATTACAGTTTGTAATCGCATTCACCCATTCACACACGCATTCATACACCGACGGGGGCAGAGCTGCCACGCAAGGCCGTTTGGAGCTACTCGGTTCAGTGTCTTGCTCAATGACACTTTGACATGCGTATAGGGGGAGCCAACCGGCAACCTTGAGACTAAAGGAAGACCTGCGCTACCGCTTTCTCTAAAGTCAATTATGTGAAGCTGGAAAAAGATATTCTTTGATGAAAGGATAGTTTTGCATTAGTTACAGTGGTTGGCACAACACAAAATTGGGGAAATACCCTCCAGTTCAGTATGAGATGGATGTGTGGAGCTTCTATTTTTGAAACTGACTAAGCTCTGATTTGAGGATGCCTTTGCTGCTGCTTGGACAGAACAAAGTGAATCACTGAAGTGGTCACCACGCTACAGGTAGTTCTGGAATAGGCCCCTATTCCAAATCGCATTGAAATGTCCATCCAACCATCTACTTTACTGTCGGGATCATAAATACAATGCAGTGTGACAGCCTGGATTTTGACAGCGCTGTGACAGACGCGGTACTTCGGCTTCAAGCAGACAGTCAGCTGGTCTGACTTTTTCTGGATGTATGCATAAATGAACTGTTCTAGAGGGATTGAGGGGCTCAAAGGGGCGTCGGGTTTGGACAACTCCGGGCACTTTAAGGGATGAACACTAGGTTCAAATCCGGCACTCACCACCTCCCATTTTTGTGGCATGATTCATTATAATGCACCAACCGAGCCACTTTCTTGGCTAGCTTTAGTTAGACAAACGCAGAGACAGCCATATCAAATCCTCTAAATTTTTGTCCTACAAAGGGGGCTCGCTGCAACACTCTCTGGACCATCTCCAGGTCACACCGAGGGAGCAGCAGCTTTCCCACTGTAAGCCACAGCTCTTCTTAATCTGAGGATCTTCCATGAGAACTGAAGTGTTTGAAACTATATGCGCTGCAACAAGTTTCAAAGATCACTCTGCAGAGTCGTGATATCTGACTGACATGGCTTCAAGCTCGGTCTCCTCAGGTGCCAGACAGAGCTTGAGTCCCTTGGGTGAGGATGATAGTGGATCCTTCCAGACTGCACTCCCTCATTACTTTTTAAGGGATAGCAGGAGGCTGAATAGGGGAAGCAGTCTGCAGGGTTAGAGTCCACTGCTGTGTCGTCGAATCAAAGCTGAGGAGGGAGAGAGGTGAGCCAGCTCAGAGCTCCAAAGAATGTTCCTCGTCCTTTGGCTGACATACAATTAACATTACCTAACTAAATACGAATTGTTTAAATTATTCAACAAAATTGAACACAAATCCATTTATTTCAGGCCTCTCAATTGTTCATGAATCTTATATACAGTATCTGTAACTATCAAGTAATTTACAAGGCATACAGTGTATAATCGGCCTACTCATGTTCCTGGATGTCAAATATCTACGTTTTGTTGCAGCCCTCTGAGTCTGATACCGACGCTCATGGAACATTTTAGCATCAGTATCGGATGCACCGGGCTTCCAATTAACTCCAATGTTAACCTATCCGCTCAGAGCAAATGCTCCTGAAGTCAAGTGGCATGTTATGACGCAGGGCGGCGGTTGGGGTGGTTGGATGTGTAAAAAAAAAAAAAACCGGCACTTTCACCCAGGAGACCTTTGTTTGTATCCCGTGTGGAACAAAAAGTAAATGTCGACTTATTTGAAGTTATGCAAGCATAATTTAGTACTTAACTAAAGTCATGTAAGTAATGTAGGTTATGTAAAAGCATTTATTTTAATCCAACCCACGCTGTTTTACTAAATCTAACCAATTAGTTTTGTTGCCTAAGTGACACCAAGGTGTCCTGACTAAGTGTCCATATGTGACGAGTTGGGAATGAGAACAGGTTGGTATGCTGGGTAATTATATCTTTATCTTTTCACTTTTCAAAAACAAACCCACTTTTAACTTCAACTTGAAACAACAGTTTGACTGAAAGTTGTGTGCTGACCTTTTACTTGTCGAGACACGGTAACTTCCTGGAGTCCTGTTGTTACAGTGTGGTTGCCGGGCCAGCTAAGTAATCCGTCACATAACGGCTCGTAAAACCATAACTTGCAGTGTTTACACCTGAGGTTTTGTGCAGATTAAACCAATACGGCTTGTGTTAATTAGTAAGCTTTGGAGGTTTCGTTATTATCGGACAGAGCCAGGAATTCCAGTCTTAATGCTAAGCTAAGCTTACCAGCAGCTGTAGCTTCATAATTACCGTGCATACATGAGTGGTATCCATCTTCTCATCCAACTGTCAGAAACAAAGCTAATAAACGTATTTCTCAAAATGCCAAAGTATTCCTCTTTGGTAGCTGCTTTGTGTTTCCAGTTCCAGTTATGTACCAGCAGGTGTTACGAGAAGAAAGCCAACGTTGGAAGTTTATGAAGCAGACATGGCTTGCTGCATTAATGAATAAACTAAATGTTTCCATTTTGGCTTTTATATTTAAGGGTAGAGCAAAAGGTCTGGTTCAACTGGCTGGTAGGATGACGGTCAAACATTCTCTGTCGCATACAGTGTAGTGTGCCCCTCCTGAGGGAAAATACTGCACACATTTTCTCATGAAGTCTGGTGTTTCGTGAGCACAACTTTGAGCGTGTTTTGCATATTTCTTTTGCTACGTGGCACCTTGTTAGTGTGACGCATTTTCATCTAGCGTTAAATGAATGTGAGGTTTTTCCAATTCAGATGCCTCGATGAGCCCAAATCAGTGACTGTGTATGAGCAATTTGAAATGGAGACATAATCCCTTTTAGGGGGAAAAAAGTGAATAAAACATTGTCATAAAAAAACCAGGATTTTGACTTTGTGGTTTAACATAGAGCTAAGCTTTATAGTTCAGCTAGTGAGACACCTGATAAAAGAGGCCGTGGCATGTCTCCACTGAAGGTATTTAAGTCGACATGCTCCCACCCCACGCAGCTCTTGAACACTAGCCTGAGGCTTTTTTCCCAAGAAACAATAGAGTTCCAGTGCCTCGCTGTGTGCTCTGTGTGGCGGGGAAACATAAGAAGCAGCAGTGAGAAATACAGAGAGTGACATAGAAATAGAATAGACGGCAGCATGCAGGAGCTAATGTACAGAAATCATATTAACGGTAACACATAATTAGGATATAAAAACTATTTGGAAGGACCTTCAACTTCTTTTTTTTTTTTTTTATAACAATTTGTCTCTATTAAGAAACTTTTAAGTTTAGAAAAACTTCATACAGTCAGAAAAGAGCATGATAGACTTTTAACTATTCCCAGTTTACTTTGTGTGCAAGACATTTTCTAAGCTGTAGGCTTATATTACGATATTTAAGGAATGTCTGAAGGGGAAGTTCTCCAAAATTGAGTTCAAACGTCCACCTGGACTCGAGGATGAACTGATCAGACTTTAGTGGACATGGATGTAAACTGCTCCTGACCCTGAGGCTGTAATTCTAGTTTGCCTTTATAATCAGCCAAAAACAGAGAGTATCTCCATCGAGTTGTCCCATTCAGGATCAATACATTTGTTATGATGTTGTTGATGTCTCATACATGGTCTCTAAAACAAGCCATCTTTGTCTTGTCACAGCGGGTACAACAGCTCCTCGCACGACTTTGTCAGGCAGTCGATTTGTTTTGTTCGTCTTCTCGTGACTCTCGTTTGCTTGAAAGCGAACGCAAAATAAATTGGCTCCATGTCCTCACCATTACCAGGTGAGCAGAGAGCTCACGAGACAGCAGCACAAATCTGATGTTAAACAAAAGGGTGTTCATGACAAGTGGTGTCGTGATGCAGCCTGTTATCCATTTATAATAATCACAATGGAAAGCTTTGAGTCACAGTAAGCTGCTCTGTTACTGAGTGCTAGCATCTGTGCATGCATGAAGTATTACGCGTCAGCGAGATACACACACACGATGGTGCGAGCAGTGAGTCCTTGTGACATGCGTATCATGTGTACTCATGCCGACAGCATGGATTTGGTGAATTAACCTCGTGCTCTCTTGTCTCCCCTCGCTGCTTTCTGGGCAACCTTCTGTTGATCACAGCTCTGTACGACAAGACCTCGCTTTCAAAACACATGTGCTCTCCAGAGGGAAGAGTATCTAGAAAAAGCCCTGTCTTCTGCAGTGATGTGGAGAACATGCAGTTGAATAAAATGCCTTCATGAAAGCAGTTTCGGATGGAGAATAAGTTACTGGAACCGCATTTCTGTTCTAGTTCATTTTAGGTAGGTTTGATTTCAGAAGTAGGGGAACAGAAATTACATGTAAATTACTGTATTCTGGGGAGAATATTACCTTTGAATCAATGTATAAATATATATTCCTTATAATGTCCAAACCATGCAGAGAAGATCTTCCTCTCAAGCTGTCGATGGCCCTAAAAGACAAGACAAGGCTACAAAGTCAACTCACTGCTGTCCTCAGGCTTATTGCTGTGAGTGGACGCCAATAATCAAAAGCCACCTATCTGACCTTATTAACATATTTATCTACTTCGAGCTTCACTCACCTGGACTGTGACAGCTGGACACTAAGACGATACTTTTACACCAACTTTAGTGAGTAAATCAAACTGAAACACTTGTAAGTTGTTGCTAATGGCTTTAGCAATGGTTAACAAATGATGTTCTAATGCTTTGTGAATCGGCCATTAATGAGGAAAAAAAACCTTGGTTGCCAAGTTGAGAAATTCCCTTTGGTTGCTATTTTTTTTCCTTTATATTTGCTAATGTTGTTATAAATGATGGTAATTAATCAATACATTTGTGGATTGGGGTTCAGATCTTCAGCTCTTTTCTCTGAAGTCTATTCAGTCCAAGACATCTTTCACAACCCAAAAGTTGTTCTTGCCATTGGCTTATAACTGATCTATAAAGCTTGAGTAAACGATTATCCAGTAATATTCATTATGTATGTCATGTTGTAATATTATGGATTAATCAAATAATCGTCAGAACTAGTTCATTTTTTAAATATAGATGTAAATGTATCCTCATCGTTCAACAGTTCTAACGATATCTTATTGTCGGTGTTCATTGTTCTGACTTGTGCTGGTTGCTTCCCTAAAAATAGTCTGATGCTAAAGGTGTTGTTGGCTGTTCACATCCATGATGATTAGTATGAATCGCTTCATCCCAGATGATGACTCCTCCTTGATGGTGTCTGAAGTTGTAAAACATCAATCAGAAGTGAACTCACTTGTTTCTCACATAACAAATAAAAGTGAAGTGGCAGACTCATTTCTTTCTGCTGCTGCCATTCTGACAGTGAAACAATATAGCACCTTAAATATTTGTAAAAACGTTAAGCCTCAATGCCGGATTTGAAGAGAAGCTGAAGGTTTAAAATCACCCGAGACATCTCATCATGGACAGAGAGTTCAATCCGATCGCTTGCTGCCACGTTTGTCCCCGTTGAGATCTGCAGGCCGTCAAAACCGTCTTGTTAAGTGTTGTGTACCTGTCAGGAATGAGCCTTGTTTTGGAAGATACGGACGACATAATTCATCAGGCCGAGGGAGAGGCTCTTGAAGAATGGAGAAGTGACAAAGTCGATTCTTTCGAGAATAATGACGGCTGCCAGCCCGCTGAATGGATGGAGAGTCTTTTAGGATCTATCAAAGCCCGTCTCCCTGGCTGTAAAGCCCACAGGTGTGATGTGAAGAGCCA